TAAAGTCACGGCCCTGTGTCCAGCTATCAGGAACCCCAGCAAACACCGAAGCCCTATAATGTTTTTCCCAGTAGGCCTAAGGTTACAGATATAATTAGGTTAGAGTGGCTTGTACAGTATGTCTGATTTCAAAGTAAAATCAGAGTATTATGCATAATATTATGCAAGTGCCATAGCAACAGTAAGGCAGACTTCCATGAAATGCTAATGAGATAAGCTGTTCTGCAAAAACCCTAACCTGTCCAAGCAAAAACAAACACATTACTTAAAATTCATACAAGAAACTCACACATTCCTTCTATTAGAAAAAAAAATCACAAAAAAAAAAAAAAAAAAAACCACCACCACAACAGAAAAACAGCCCATGACATAAAATATCTTATCAAGCCATCGCAGCAGGAACGAAGCAGGCAGGGAGCGAGGCAGATGTGTGCACAGCCACCTGTTGCCATTGGTGTGCTGCTCCAGGAGCACCCCGACGAGCTCCTTACCCGGAGAGTAACCTGGGGGGGCTGCCCAAAGCCCCTCCAGCCCGGTGCGAGGTGCCCCTGCCCGTGGGGGGGGATTGGAAGCCCATGGTCTTTTAGGTCCCTTCCAACCCAACCCATGCTGCGATTCTGTGCAAGGCAGCACCATTCCAAACACAGGATTGGGCTTGTTTGACCACCGATATAAAAGAAATATTTAATCAAAGCTTTCCAAGCAAGCTTTGGTCAGGATGCGGAGTATTTTGAGTTCCCTCCGTACCACCCCATCCCCTGCAAGGCTCGGAGGCCCGGCTCCCCCCTAGGCTCCTGCTCAGGGTGCAGCCGTGCTGCTGCTGCTGGCTTTCACCTCCCCGCTCAGCAGCAGTGAGCCCGGCCATTGGATTGCAGCGTGATGGGGTTCCCAGAGGCTGGAGTTACAGCACTGCCTCCTAATTTTTGCTGAATGGCTTTTTTTCCTCTCCGAAGCCACTGGTTTGTAATTCAGTAAGGTCCGCAAGACCCAGCTTTAACAGAGCTGTCTGAGACACAATTACAGAAAAACAGGCCCTGAGTGTGTATGGTAAGGGCATCTGAGAAGAAGGATCACTACAGTGCAGCTCCACCTTAAAAGCCCACGTTTGCTATTTATTTAGGTAATTGACAATTTCACGTAAATTAAAATAAATGTCAGCTTCATGATGCACACGTCTCATTCTTCATCATCTCAGCGTGGCCTCAGCACTTCTGGAGATTTTTGCATTTAGCGACTGCCTTTAATCTTTTAAAGTCTGTCACTAATGAACCAGAGGGGCAGTGGAGCTACAGCAACGTGTGTACAGTTACAGAGCAGCTTTCAGATGACATTAAAATCTTCCTAATCCACACACCGGTTTGTACAAAGTGGGCTTCAAGATTATCATCCATAAATCAGTATTTGCTTTATAAAATATAATAGAAAATGCTAATAAGATTTGCTTCTGAAGTGAAATTGGATTATATTTTATCTATTTTAACTTCGTTTGGTACAGTGTTCCTTCAGAAACCAGCATCCTCACACAATCTTATGTTAGGATCTCGTTTTTTTCCCTCTCTCTGAGTTCAGACAAACACACCACAATTCTCAGGCCACCATTTTAAAAAGAGAAGTGATGGGGGACGTACATGAATTAAGTAGAAAATGTAGATTATGCAATGTGAAACAGTATAAAGAAAAAAACAACCTAAACCAAAGGCATCGGAGTTACAATGGATGCGCTGTAGGGCAGGGAGCAGACTGATGCTTTATGTCTGGCTGGGGGCTGCCCAGCTAAGGAACTTGAAATTCAGAAAGTAATTTAAACCTGGTCATTTTCTTGTATTTGCTTGGATGACTGAACAACCGCTATACGAAATGAGTATCCATATTCACAATTATGCTTATATTCACTGTAGCCGCTCGGGGTTCATTGATACATTCTATTAGCTGGACACAATAAAGCCTTGATTTATTCTCCACTTATCAGGTCTGCCATAAAGAACATTCCTTTTAATAACAGGCAAACAGCACTAAAATTGTCAGAAGCAGCAGTTAAGCGATCATGCTCATGCGGTGTGGTGCTGCCATCACCCCCTGCGCGGGGCACGGCCTGTCGGGGCGCTGCGCCACGAGCCATGGCAGAGGGGTGCTGAGATGCAGCAGGGGTTGCTCCAGCTCCAGCTCCCAGCACACCCCCATCAAGCATAGGAGCCCTATTTCCTACAGCAAGGCCCTTCCCTGCAGGAAGCACTGGATGTGGGCACGGCGATAGGCGTTTTGTGGAGTACGGTCAGGGCCTTGTAAGGCCAGAGCAGGCCCGCTGCCAGTGAGGCGGCTGTTCTGGTCACTGTTAGGTGACACTCACCAAGGAGCTGGGTCACAGGTAAAGGAATTAAACACCCGCTGGAGCCACCCGGGTGGTGGGCACAAATCCCTGTACCAGAAGGGTAATCACAGAATAACACGCGCGGGGTGAGGAGGGAGAGGTGCTGCAGAGCTAGCACTGAGCCCACGCTGTAGGAGTTGAGGGAGGCTGAAAAGCTGAAGGAAGGAAAGGGATGGGACTCTGGGGGGAGCTGGGGGCAGAAAGCCTTGCTCCTTATTGAGCAAGAATCTCCTTAGCAAAAGAAACCCTCAGTACTGGGGTGCTGACTGGTGTCTGGGCTGTCCAGGCCCGGGGGTGGGCTCGTGGGGACGATGGGCACGGGGCGAGCTCCCCCAGCTTTGGTGAGCTCCTGTCCAGGCCTCTCCTGATCGCAGCGAGCCACTTTTCTGCCTGGTCAGAATTAATGAGCGTTAGCAGCGGGGAGCAGATGTTGGGAGAGCTTTTGCATTGCGCTCAACTGGCTTGGGGACAATGTACAAATCAAACAGAAGCGTGTAAGCAATTAGCTGACTATGACAAATCTTTCACATAGACAAACGGCTTCATGCTGCAGCCAGATCTTACTTTTGCATTGCCTTTTTTTTTGGCCATTTTCTTCTTTAGTTGTAAGAAAGAAAAAAAAAATGCTCTGCATGTCCCCAGTGCAGACTTAGCAGTTTGCCTGAGCCTGGCACAGGAATTCAGGGCCAGGTGCATCCCCCCACGGCCAAAGGCGCTTCCTGACGGACCGCAGTAGCTGCAGCCGGAGCTGAGCAGCCCTGCCTGCGGTCAGCCCTCCCAGCCTGCCCGTCCTCCAGCTCCGTGGCACCATTTCTCCCAGTGCTCCCAGCTTGGTGTCGAGGAAGGGCTTTGACAGGACAGCTCGGGGCACACGCCAACCAGCACACCAGCCCTGCGTTGCAATTAAGCTTGAGTTTTGGCTTTGGCCAACCAAGTTGATGCTTTCCTCTGAATTAGGACTCACAGAAGCCTCAGCCTTGGCTCGGGAGGTGAGGGAGAATTGTGGATTTGATGATTTTATCACCTCCTCTGTGCTTTCTCAAACAAAACAAGTGCTAAGCAGCACTATCAACTTCTCCCTTTTCGCCATCACTTAGAAAGCTCCTGACCCAGCCACCCTTATTAAAACTAAACTGAGCTCCCTGTTCCTCCCGGGTCTCTATCACAAGTCATTTATTTAACAACACGAAATATTTTGGAGCACAGGTTGCGTGAAAGGTGTCACACCACAACACCCAGGCCACATCTATGGAAGTATCTGCTCAACTTCCCGTACCAACAGTGTCCCAGTAACAACACACTCAACAAAAAACAGCAGTCACTTGCTCCATGGGCCACCACCCCCCCCAATTTTTCCTCCCAGGTAGCCCACAGTTTTTAGAGACAATCATGATGGATTCAGCACGAGGCTCCTTGCGCTGCTCTGCGCACAGGACAGCGCTGCAGCTCCAGCACCTGATGGAGGAAACCCACCCGTGGGTTGTAAAGCAAGGAGCCACGTCCAGAGCATTGGTGTGTAAGCATCAGGAGCACAAGGAAGGCAGGGTCTGCAACCAGGGGCACTAGGGGACATGACTCAGCAGCACAGAAACTGAGACCTGCGGCACGCTCAAACTATTTGATAGCTGCTGGGAAGCGAGGGGAGCCCACTGGGAGCCCATAACCACACCGGCTGCTGGGGACTGGGGCTTTGCTCCCACAGCACATGGATGGGGACGGCACCCGCTGAGGGGACACAAAGCCAGCGCCTCAAACGTTTATAGAGTCAGTAATGATGCCGCAGCAATCTTCAAAGTAGGAACTGCTACAAATTACAAGGTAATTGCACTTAGCCTAAGAAAATTCGTAAGTGGAATGAATTAGTGTAATTATTCATATATTCTTTCCATTTTTTACAATTTGGAGGGAAAAAGAACACTGTTCTGAATGTTTCACGTCACACCGAGTGTTAAACCAAATTCAATCCCAACCGGAAAGCAGCCCGTTTCTGTAGAAACCCGACAAGGTCAGAGCTGGTGGGCTGCAGCACCACGTCCCCGGCTGCGCCTGCCTGCTGCGCACCGGGAGCTGGGGGCACCCGGGGGCACTTGGCAGGCTCCCCCCGCGCAGGGGCAGGCAGCGCCTGAACGTCCCCCAGCCCTGGTGAGAGCACCGCACGTGTCCATGGTGTCCATCACCACCCAATCATCCAACAAAAAACCTCACCAAGTTTCTCATCTCCCTATGTTGTTGCACAACCGTGACGAATTAAACCAGAAACATTGAGTCCAACAATCACAGCAGTCCTCAGAAAGTACTCAGAGTCCGCAGCTAATTACTCCAAGGATTACCCAAAAAGTCCGAGCCCGGCAGCAGAGCCCAGCCTGCACTGAGCACAGGCAGCTCAGCCCGTCACCACACGCCAGCACCGCGGGCCTCCCGGCAGACAACAGCAGGATCCGAGCCCCAATCCTGCGTTACCTGCCTGGGGCCAGACCAACTCAAACACCGCAGGCTTTTTGCTCCTGCAGCACCAAAAACCCCTCCGACCTACAGCTCCAGCACGAGCAGCAGTACAGTGCATTAGGCTTTTCTTCTCAGCCGCGTCCCTCTTCTCCATTGGATTTAGCGATTAAAAAACAACACGACTTACAGTTTACTGTGACTTTTACTTTTTTCACGTCTGGGACTGAGACGTCGTTCTCTGCACTGCATTCGTATTCCCCAGCCTGGTCTCTCGTAATTCCATAGATGTCCAGGTACTGTCCGCTCTCAAATGGTTTTGCTGAAATGAAATAACCAGAGAACGAAATTACAGGAGGCTGAGCACAAAGCGACAACGTCCATCTGGCTCCGCTCTTACACCCGCGCAGTCCTGCCCGAGAAGAGCAAGGCCGGGGCGCAGCCGGCCCTCCCCAAGCAGCAGCCACCCCCCAAGGGGGCACATCCCTCCCGGGGAGGCCAGGCTGGGTGTGCTCTGCCCTAACAAACGTTTCAGATTTTAATGAAGAATAAAATAAAATAATAGCTCTCCTGCCCCTGCGTGCACAGACCCAAGGAACACAACCCAGACTGCCTGACTTCTGCACAGAAGTAAGGACAGTCACTGTGAGCTCCTGTGAAAATTGGCAGACGTCAGATTTACAAATCTGTCTGATGCAAAACAAAGACACAGCTGAGAAACTGGTACATACAACTCCTCAGGGCACTACATCTGAAAATGGTAACTGTTTTACAGAGCAAGAAGAAAATTGTAATTCGGAAGGTAATTGCTGTCCACTTGGCACAGAGTCATAACCCACCCTGAAATTTTTGCAGTTTTCTAACTCCCAGCATCTCCTGGCTGTGCCTTCCTGCAGTGCCTGCCGTGCCGTGAGCCCTCTGACACCCGTCAGATGAAAACTGCTACCTGCTTCAAAGTCTGCCCGTGTCTGCAGAGCACTGTGCTGCCAGCGGAGAACAAATTAATTACCCCAGATTCCTCAGAGGGCGTTTACCACATAATAAAAGAAAAAAAAAGTTAACTATACTTATTGACTGCTAATAACTTTGCAATTTACAGAGCAGTGACTAAAACTGGAGCTGGGTAGTGAGAAGCAAGTAGAAATATCATGCCCGTGTCCATCACAGCGGATAATTTCATTTCCTTCTCTGTTGCAGACCGGTGTTTTGAGGTGAGTGAGGTTCAGCACATCAGCTGTGGCAGCGCGTTGCCTACCACGATGGCACTCACCTGGCATGCCACGTGCCTTGTTCATGGGACAGAGCCCGGGAAAGCAGTGATTTTGCAAAGCAGAGAGATAACACTGAGACTGGAAAACGGTTGTGCATCGAACCGAACACTCATAAAATGCAATGAAATGACATTCAGTATGCGAAAAATCGTGTGGGGATGATTTTTATGCCATTCCCTGCGGTCCACAGGAATGAACTCTGCACCCTCCCCAGCCCCCAGGGGTCCCAGCTGTTTCTCTTCACACGGTGGGCACTGTCCTGCTCCACTTGGCCAGGCTCACTCGATCTCCAGAACTTCCTACTGCTTTGAACAGAGAAATATGTTTTCCGTCTCTACCACACAAAGTGCACATTATATGTTTGCTTCTGCTTTGTTTCTAGTACCAATAAAATCCTGTAGACTGCAAGACTCGCCCGTGTTTCATATTAAAAACGACTATTAAGTTATGAGGTCGTAATGCTCTCCGGTGTAAGTACATCTCTGGCTATACGGTGTGCATCACGTACTGAGTCCTGCAGTCTATTTACATCACATTCTGTCACAGTCCCCAGCATCAGTTTGAAAATAAAACAGAGCTCTCCAAGTGCCTGGAACTTCATAAAAATAGCCGTTCCTGTTTGAGTTTAGCACAGCTAAAACCTCCGCTTTGAACCTTTGCTTTAATGCAAACACAGCACCTAGTTCCTCCTCTCCCGTTGTTGCTTTTCTAACAGTTCCTTGCCTGCAGCTGTGTTTTGGGTGTGCTTTGCCACCTGCATGTGGCAGCGCTCAGCGCCCCCGGCCACCGCAGGCAGAGCTGACAGGTTTCTGTGCTGGGCCTCGGCTCGGGTGAGCAGGCACTGCTTTGGCCAAAAAACACCAACAGGAGCCACATCTGCTGGGACAGCAAATCCTGCTGGCGGTGCTGGTGGCAGCCTTGGTGCTGCTGCGGGCGGAGGGGCTGCACCCCAAAGGGCTGTGCTGTGGGGATGGGCTGGGCATCCCGCGGTCCTGATACTCTGCACCCATCAAACATCTGCACCTTCCATGGCCCTGCATTTATAGGATCTGCCCTGCAGAGCTGTGAGTCTGATTTACGCTGCAGAACTATGTATGTATTTGTATAAAGCTGCAAGCCCCGTTTTATGCAATTCACACACACGCACTTGGAAATTTAAAACTAAATCATTTTTAAACCCTCCTACCCCCTGAAATTTTGCATCCTGATCACATGAAGAAGCTTTTAGTAAATATTCGAGATAAATATTTTTCTTGGGGAATATACAGACACTGTGTTTCATCTTTCCTATTCTTTCACATAATATTCCATCTTCCTTAACTTGTTTTTAGTTTCAGAGATTTCCCGTGGCTATGTGGAAGAAATTAAATTGTGTTATGTGAACAATAGATGTATAAGTGTATGTAGGCACATTATGTTACATTGTGCACATGTCCAGCTCAAAGAAGATATCCATGGACATCTGAGAGAATAAATTGTGTATGGGGACAGTGGGGTATGAAGAGCATCAGGCAACAATTGGGCTTTCTCACTGTTCAGATCCGCTTCTGCAATGCCTCCCAAAAAGACTGGCAAGAGAAAGAGTGACTAGATCAGGAGCAAACAGTAAATAGAGTGAATAGTTTCAGGAGGCCTCGGCTGGGTGACGGGAACCACTGCTTGCTGAACAACCAACCACCAGAGTGCCTCAGGTCCGAGGAGCCCCTGATGGGTCTGCAGAACATCTCTTAATTCAGCATGCTGAAATGCTTACGGATTTGTAGGAATCTGCAGGATATCTCGGGTTATAGGGCCGGGTTCTCTAGCCAGGAAGGGAAGCACTGTGCAGCTGAGCTCGAATGCCTGCTCCCTGCTGCTGCCCTGTGGTGAGGTGCCTGTTAATCATCACATTTGTAGTTCCCCAGGAGAGTACACAATTAAGACTGTGTTTTCTTACCACGCATATGGTATCTGGCATCAGGTGTAGCACACATACACCTAGCCATATGGACAGGTTTTCGAGGCGTGGATGGATGAGCTTTACAACGGCAGCATTTTCCTCCCCCGGTGTTAAACATAAGTCAGTAAGAGGAAAAATCTGGTGTAAGTCCAGGGTAGCTCGGAAAAACACTGAGGACTTCATCTGGGCCAAGTCTGTTTTGTTGTCGTTCCCTTATTTGCTGGGGTATTAAAGAACTGCAGCACAGCCCCAGCCTAGGAGCTGTGAAACCCGTCCAGCTCTCGTGGCTGGTGTCTCCTGTGCGGTGTGAAGGTCCCGGCACGGGCTCATCCGCAGGTACACTGCCTCGTATGGGCACGGTATCAGCGAGCAGGAGGTCTCCAGCAGTGATGCTGTCAGGATGCCATCCCATTATCGCTGAGGCTTTGAGCAGCCCGTAGTCCATAAAGTCCTTCTTGATCTCAGGGGCTGGGAGGAGACAGAGGACCCAGGAGGCACAGAGACACCTTGATTCTTGCCCAGAGTTGTCACTGGATGCTGAGAACAAGCTAAGCAATTGGATTCACAGTCTGAAGCTGTTACTATTACTTGCTATGCATTCAGAGTTTAAAATTACATCAAATGCTGTAATTGTATAGGATGTGCTCCTCTCCCAGGAACTGCAGGTAATCCGAGCAGCTTGCATTAGGCACCATTTAAACACTGACGGTGTAAGGCCGTTTAGCTTTAGAGAAGGCATGCTCCACATTTGAAAAGAAAAATCAGATAAAATGTAAAGAAAAAAATATCTGAACCTGCCAGATAAATTGAGAGCTGGAGGAGATCTCCCAGCTGAAGGCACAAAACAAGAAAAGCGGGTAGAGCAGTTCTGCAAGCAAGGCGTGCTGATAAAAGCAAAGAGATGTGAACACAGGCTGACAAAGTTGAAAGTTTCAGAGGTGGAGACAAACAAGGTTACATCTGTCTGTGCATATATCGGTACAGAGGGAAGCATTCGGAGAGCTGGCTGTGTGCGTGCTCATCGCATGGGCAATGCAAATCTCAGACAGCTCCCAAGGGACGCTGTGTGTCACAATAATTCACATTCTTCTGATCAAGCTGTGTGACAGTGTCCCTTTACCATGAAGGGTAAGTCAGCAAGTAACATGTTAAAGAAAAACACATTTTCCCTTTGTTCTTGTTTTTTCATCTAACAGAGACAGAAGGGCAATGGATATTTCATTCACCACTGTTTCTTTGGAGCTTCTCTGACTCACCGGAGTACAGGCTGGTCCTACAAGGGAAGCAGGCACATTTAGTTTTCCTCCTTCTCTGAAGCTACATTCATTGGTTTCTGCCTCTGCACAGGACGGCTGCCATGCTGCACTAGGTGCCTGGGACATGTTATATTACAGTATTTTGGAGCAATATTGAATTTTTCAGTTGCAGACTTCATGCCAGGGAACACACGGTCAGCTCATGCTCCAGAATATGTGCTGACTTTTCTGCCTTAGCAGCTGAATACCAGTATGATGGAGAGCTCCATTTCAGCACTCAGAGACAACATGGTCAACCAGATGTTATTTGGGAAGAGAAAACCACCCACTGGAGACGGTAGTGCTTTTAGGTATCTGCATGGCATGTCTTCTGGATATTTACAGATTCATGGCTATCAGATTGCACTCTTTGATCTCTTTTGAGCTCTTCAAATATTGGTACTGCTGCAGAGGTGTCAGTGCAGCCTGCCACAGATGCCAGGCTTTCCCCTGGCATCATTACTTCAGGGTTTGACAGTCTCACCGCCGTAATGAGGGCCATCGTGCGTCAGGACATGCGAAGCCCCCTTCGGCAGGAGGAGCTGGGAAGAGATCCTCTTACTGCAGAAAATAGCTAAGCGTGAGCATCTTAACACAGCCTAGAAAATCTTTCCCTAGAAAACCAAAATTAAACCCGTGTAGGGAAGAACGGGAAAATATTCTTTATAATATGAAAGCTACACAATTAAATCTCACTTGAGCTTATTTATAATGCATAGCACTTCACGTGAGGATTTGGCTCTTGGGAAGGGCTAATTATTCCCAGTGAAGCCCACGAGCGGTTTCCTTGTTGCCCAGTCCCTGGCAGGGGCCAGTC